AAAGTTGCCTGGGCTACTTTTGGTGCCTCTTTTAACTGCACACACAATCTCAGTGCCTCCAATACATCCTCACAGTATCTTCAGCCAGTGATGGGACCATTTTGCAGTGAAGATCTGTGCTTGAGCTAAGACCTAAATGTAGGTTCTCAGTCCCTGTTTAATACCTGAACCACTACTCTTTGGTTTCCTCCCTGATGAAATATTTAGTCTGGTGCAACCAGGAGTTTCCTTACTGGCAGCCTTGCCCTTAGAGCAAAGACAGTTCTGACTTGGGGACCAGATTAGTCATTCCCAATCGGCCTTAATACCCTCATCCCTTTTGAACACAAAACTCATCCCACATATAATCTAAGAGAAGGAGGGAAGGTAGAAAAGGATTTTACCTGAGCTGACCTTGTCGATCCAGAAAATCCTGCTTAGGTAAAACCACACCTGGGCTGGAGTGGACCACAACTGGCAAGCGATATTCCAGGTAAGCTGTCTTCAGCCACCAGTCTGAGAGCTGGGATGGAAAAACAAAAATGGAGAGCTGTTGCTGCTGCCCAACCCAATTCTGGTGGATGGGTCTCAGCATCCTGCCCCCAGTTCTGTCCCACACTTTTCAAACAAAGTGTTTGGGGTTTGTACTATGCAGGTAGAAGGGGAAAGGAGGATTTAAGCAAGGCATGGGTGGCTTTTGGTGCAGGGCTTGACCAGAGGGTTTCCTTCAACCCTCTGCTCAACTTCTTGAGGCAGTTGTATGATGCTGACAGGTTCAAGCTTTCAGCAGCCAGAGGCAGGGCCAGTGACTCCCTGTTCTGCCATAATCTCTCTGCTCACCCAAGTCCTGCTGAGGCGTTTGCACAGCTTGGGGAGATCAGTGGCGAACTGGTCAGGAAGGTGATGTTATTAAAACACAGATTCCAGTGGATGCAGCCAGGACAGGGAAGAGATGCACATCAGCCCTCCACTCTCCCTTACCTGAGCTGGGGCCAGATCCCTGACCTACCCAGTTCTCTGTTTTCCTGGCTCTTCTCTCCAGGCCTTTCTGCAGCCTCTCCCCGACGCCTCCCGGCTTGCGGAACTCGGCCACCAGCTCCCGCGTGTGGCTCAGCTCCTCGGGGCTGATGATGGGCTGCAGGGCCAGCAGGTACCGATCCAGTGTCTGCTGCAGTGGAGGCACGGGCAGGGGGGGCAGCGCTTCCTGGTGGAGCTGGAATCTGCCCACAATCTTGTTCAGAGGTGTCTGCTTCAGCAGGCCACAGGGCCTGGCCTGCAAAGCACAGAGCAAATGTCGAGACAAAACATCCCCCAAGATAGCAAAGAACCTGGATCTAGGAGTTTCCATCCCAGCCTCTCTGTGGGAACATGTGTGTCCCAGCCTGGGAGCACAGCACGGCTGTGCACTGGAGAAGGGTGCAGGACATCCAGGAAAGCTGTGAAAGAGAAACTCCATCTCCAAAATACCTATTCTTAGCTCCTCAGAGAAAATGCTGCTGGGATAATGACACATCTCCCCACTCTGTGGACACCTTTCAGCTGAGAGTCTCCATATGATAGACAAAGTCAAACCCTTCCATCCCGTAGTAAGTGGGAAGAAAGTTGTGAAAAAAATAACCACCTTATGTACTATCAGAAACTTTCATTATTTCTTAAAAAAGCATAAGGCTAAAAAGCAAAACCCTTGTGCCAAACCAAACTACCCTTCTGGCTTTGACGAGACAGAATTTAGCTAAGTTTGGGGTAGGATTAAAATGCCTTTTCTCTGTCGATTCAGGAAACTGTGGGTGATGCCAAAAGGCTCCTGCGATCCAACTGGGTCATGTGGGAGCAGACGCACCAACCACTTCCCTGGCTGGAGAAATATAACCGAGCAAACCCAAGTGCTCACCAGGAAATTAACTCACCAGTTTTCCCCAAAAAGAATAACAACATCCTTTTGGATGAACGGGGTTGGACATTCTTCAGCTTGAAGATGTTTCAGTAGTACTCAAGGTTTCCAGTTCCCTCTGCACCTCCCTCTCCCATGGATCTACTGAATCAGACACTCCTGCAGGACTCTGGACTTTGCATTGTCAGTGTACTGAGAATGCAAAGCCACTGAGAACATTCCCTTTGACTTCCAAAGCAGTGAGAAAATAGCTGTCCCCACACCTCCTCCCAGCAGTTAAGCACCGAGAAGAAACAGCTAAATCTACAAGAGGACAAAGGCCCGCCAGAAACTGCCCTGTTTTTGGGCAGCTGGGTCTTTGTGGGACCTGAGAAGAGCTGCGAGACTGAGGTTTGGAGAAGGAATGAAAAAAACAGCAGGGAGAGAAATTACTGAAGCATAAAAGAAGAGTGAGACTGGGAGGAAAAGAAAGGTGTTGATCACAGCAGCTTGGGCATACTGTACCTTCTCTGCTTCCTCCTGCTTCCTATCCATGGCTGGTGGGACAGAAAAGGCCGTAAAGCTCTCCCTCGGCCTCTCTTGGGTCTCCTCTTCCACCTGACAATGTGCTGCCCATGCAGGGCGTCACCTCATTAGCCAACTGCCACATGACTGCTCTGATCAGAGGGCTCAAGGGCTGGCACAGCCACAGGGGACAGGAATGATCAGATCACTGGATTTCGACAACTGCCCTGAAGGTGCCCCTCTGGGCAGTTGATCAATACCTGGCTAGAGCCTCTCTGACCAAGCTCTGGGCTCCAGCTAGGGCAGAAGTGGGGATGCTGTTCCTTCACCTTTTGTCTGGACCCTGAAACTACTGTGGCTGTTGGGAGAGATACCTGGACATAATGCAGGAGAGACCTCAGTTTATGTCCTGGAGTTGGCACCGTGGGCAGTACCCTAACTGCCCTCACTGCCCATGCATATGTGGTCATTATTGCAAGCTGAGACTCTGGGGAGTTCTGAGTTGTCAACTCTTAAAAAAAAAAAAAAAACCAACCAGAAACAACCAAAAATATCTACACAGCAGGGCAATGAGAGTGCCATGCACTCACAAGGAATATCAACCCCTCCTTTGTGTCTGTCTAATGAATTGAGGGGCAGACAAGCACAGCCTGCATAGCTTGGATAGAGTATGATGATCCCAAACAGCTGCAGATTTTCCATGGGGTAACAATGAGAATCCCAAAACAAACCCATGGAAGCCACTGTATGTTAAAATGTGGAATGCATTTGTTATCTTCCCTCTTTTCGGTCCCGTTTGTTTGGTTTGGGGTTAAACTCAAGGATTTGGTGGGAGAAGGAACAGTGATCAGAGCTGAGGGGGCAGCTGGCAGCAAACAGAGGGAACAGCCCACACTCCCCACAAGCAGCAGGAAAACGAACACCAGTGGAGCAGGGTGTGCAGACAGGGCCAGCCTGTGGGCTGGCATCACTGCTGAGCCATGTTCCAACACAGCAAAGAACCTTCTCCAGAGCCTGCAAAGCTGGTGGGAAAGGCAATCCACCTGCTGGGGGGCAGAAGGAATTTCCTAGCTGATTCTTAGCACAGCCACAGAATTGAGTACCAGGATGTCAGAGGTTTGTCTTTTATTTTTAAATTATAATCTGGAATGCCCCTTAAGCCCAGAGACAACTGGCCCTGCCTGGTCCCTCAGTAACTGTGAGTGGATCCACACTGTAGCTGCTGTTCTGCTGCTCTGTCTTCTCCTCTCAGGACCCAGAAGGGACTGCAAAGAGCAGCTCCCAAGCCTGGCAGGGGTCTGACAGCTCTGCTGTGTGTGTGCAGCAGGATGGGCACAGTGGGAGCCACCGATGCCATCTGCCTGGGCTTCCCTGGCCCCTCCGTGTCCAGCAGCCACCTTCCTGCTGTCCAGCCCCAACTGGACAGCTCAGTACAAGACAAGGCACTGGTGGAGAGGGTCCAGAGGAGGACATAAAGATAATTAAGGGACTTGAGTATCTCTTCTATGAGGCGAGTGAGAGACTGTGAGTTCGTCCTGTTTAATCTAATGAAGAGGAGGCTGACAGGGAATCTGAACAATCCATATAAATATCATCGAGGTGGGCGTCAAGAGGGTGGTGCCAGACTCTCTTCAGTGGTGTGCGATGACAGGAGGGGAAGCAGTGGCCATAAACTAAAACACAAGAAGTCTGCCCTCAACATGAGGAATAAGTTTTTTACACTGAGGATGGCAGAGCACAGTGCCCAGCGATGGTGTGGAGTTTCCCTCTCTCTCTGGAGACGTTCCAGACCCACCTGGACACGTTCCTGGGTCATCTGCCCCAAGTGACCCTGCGTTGGCAGGGGCGTTGGACAGGGTAACGTCCAGAGATCCAACCCTGACAATTCTGGGGCTGTCATCTCCGTCCCGGACAGCTTCACCGCGCCCGCTGCCGCCGGGCACGGGAGGAGCCCAGCGGGCCTGGGGGACTGACTTCGGCAGGTCCCTGCTCCTGCTCCCGGGGGAGGTGGCACCGAGCGGACCCGCCCGCACGGCCCTTACCGGGGATCGGGGCCTGTGCCCCGGGCTGGGGCGCGGGGCCGGACCCGACAGCGGCACCGCCGGGACCGCCAGCGCTGCCGCGGCTAAAGGCCCCGCGCGGAGCCGGGCTCGCCGCCCGCCCGCTCTCTACCCTGCCCGACGTAGCGACCGCCACCTCGCTCCCCGTCTCCGGCCCCTCCCGGTGTCGCTCTTACCGCAGCCCTGGCCACCAAGGCGAGCATGGCCGTGCACCCCGGGCCCACCGCAAGGACAGCCCGGCCGCCGCCGCCGCCGCTCCGGGGCGGGGCCGCCCCGCCGCCATCTTGGAGTGGGGCGAATCCCGCGTGGCCATCTTTGGGAAAGGCAGAGTGATGGTTTGAGCGGAAGGAGCGCCGCGGCCGGTGGCAGAGCCGTGCTGCTGCCCCTTTCTCCCCTGCCTTCTCCCGGAGATGGTGAGGATGGTCCTGTCTCTCGCCCCTCCGCTGCCCTCCGCGCACACCGGTCCCTCCCCGGTGTGGGCAGGGAGGGACGCGCCCTGCACAAACATGGCGGCGTGAGCATGACGGTGGCCGGCAGGGGCCTCTCAGCCGTGCGACGGCCCCAGGAACGACAGGGCCGGGCTGCGTGCCCTGCTCAAAGATGGCCGCCGGCGGCTTCGGCGTGCGCGGAGGTGGGAGGTGAGGGGCGGCCGGGCCGGGCTGCGGGAAGATGGCAGAGAGCGAGCGGCGGACAGGTGAGGGGCGGCCGGGGGGCTCTGGGAACCCTCGGGCTGTGGGCTGAGCTCAGGGCCTCTCAGGGGCGTGCTCGGGGCCGGGGAGCGCCGGTACAGGGCCCCACGCTCCGGGGGTGCTGGGCCGAGGGCGCCGGGCCCGCGTTGCGGGGGGTGGTGGCAGCAGCGCCCGGCCCGGGGAAGGGAGGGGGGATTTGCTGAGGGTGTGAAGGACCTGCGGCCCCCGAGACTTGGCACCACCCCGGGGCGAGGTTGGTGGTCGGGACTGAGCCTCTGGATCGGGGATCCCTGTACCCCCAGCCCGGTTTTGTGACTGGTTCTCGTGCGGAGCTTTTGACTCCCCCTCCTCACACCGTGACACAAGCCTGAAAGTGCCCCCTCAGTCCAAAGTGCTTCTCGTCGTCAAGCTGACCCACCAGGCTCCCGTCTCCATCATACCAATAGGCTTGGACTCTGTGTATTCATCCCAGAATACTGTAACCCCTGCAGCCCTCACTGTTTCCTTCCCTGAGTATTCCTGGTCTCCTCACCAAGAGGAATTGCACAAAGTTTGGGTCAGAAGCAGTGATGGCTGAGAAACAAACACAAAGAGAAGAAAGCAGTTTTGTTAATGGCAAACACCCACATCAGGACACTGCCCTGGGATTTATGTGTCACCTGTACTGATGGACACATCAGGGTTTGCCTTTTCACTTCATTGCTTGGGAGGTTTTCATTGTTTTCATGTTATAAACTCTTAAAAGCAGAGTTCCATTGGTGTGGTGCCAGCTGCTGTGAGTTGTGTGCTGAAAAGAAGAGATACACACATGTCTTTAATTTAAATTCATCACATGTTGTTCCTCTCATCCTCCTACCTGGAAGTTTTGCTGTAAGTTCTGCAGCAATGAACTGAACATTGCAATATTCAGGGCAGGAGATGAGGTTGAATTTGTTCATGGCATGGGGAATGTGAAAGGCAGAGAAGTCAAATGACTGGCAAAGGTTATATGACAAATCTACAGCGGACTCTGTGTTGTTCCTGGGACTTTGGTTTCCTTTTAATCTGATCTGCCTGCTAGAGAGCATTGTGGGAAAGGCTGCTGATGCTTCTGGGTGGTGTTTTCTATGTAAATGCAGCTGATGATATTTTAAGGAGTTGGAGTTTGGTGGTGTTTGTTAGGGAGACAGTGCCTGAACTGGCTGGGCTGTGGACAGCAGCTGCTGGAGTGTTTCAGGGCAGCTGGATCTGCATAAGTGTCTGCAGATTTTCTGGGTTGAAAAAGGTGAACTGAGTGACTCTGACAGAATTAATAAATTGACATTAGTGCCCAGGTTCCTTGACAGTGCCCTCTGCATTGCCTCTTCCTATTAAAAGTTGCACTTTCAGGAGCATAATACAAATTACTTTAAATCTCCTGGAACTTTTCTGGTTCTGCAGGTTGGGCCCTGGGTTTGGGTGCTGCTGAAAAGAGCCCCTCTAATTCATTAACAACTCACATTTGCATTAAATATTGCATCTTAGGCTCTGAGAGGGCTTTGAAATTAAATGATCTTCACAGCTTTCACCTGGAAGAGGCTGTGTCCCACCATCCCCCAAGTCCAGGTGCTGCATGGACCAGAGCTGTGGCTCTGGGCTGCATTTATTGCACTGCTCCAGCTTGTCCATGCAGGAATTATCCTTTCTAGAGGAATCAAGGTCAGGCTTAACACTTAAAAAAAGGCAGGGTTAATTTGAAGGAGAGTTCAGTGTTTCAGCATGACCTGAGGCTTGCACTAGACAGAAATAATTAAACTGGCTGGATGTTGCTTTTGTTATCTCCTGCACTAGTCTCTCTGTCTGAATAGGAAATGCATCTTTAACAATAAAAACAGACATAATGCTTCTGTCTGAAGGCTTGCAGTGTCCTTAGGAGGATATTGGTGAGGAGGACTTGGTGAGATTACAGCCCAGATGGGATGGATCTGTGTGCTTTGTATCTCCTGAGAAATAATGCTCATTACTAAGAAAGAAAAATAGAGGACTTCTCCTTCCCCAGAGCCTCTGTTTTACCTCTTTTTTGCATCTCCCAGGCGCCTCTGAGGAGGTGCCTCCTCCTGTCCAGCAATGCTTCATGGTCCCCAAAAAGGAGATAAATGTGGTTTCCGACATGGCCAAGTGGAAGCGATCTCAGGTAAGACTCTGGGGACAGGAAATGCTGGGAAATGCTGCTGATCTTTTGGTGGCAGCCAGGTCTGGTCTGGAAACAGCCAGGGAGTAAAGGAGGCTTGGGCAGAGAATGGGAAATAATTGAATTTGTGTTTTAAAGAAGAAGAGTTGGTGCTGGTTTGTAGGAAAATTACTTGGCAGTGATGATTACTGCTCCCTCCCAACAAGCTGGATGAGAAGCTGGTGACTGTTTCATCCTACCTGGCCTGTGCTTTATAACCAAACTGGATTTACCCAGGCCTGTCTGAGCTCACCTTAAACATGGTTCTGCTGCCTGGCCCTGGTAGCACCAGCCTGGGTTGGTTCCTTCCCATTGTGCTGTTCTGGAAAGGACTCTAGAGCTAAGCCCTTCAATTTCCTGGATAATTTTTGTTTACAGCCTGTGTGGAGCTGGTGGAACAAGCAGGTTCTCCATTCTCTGCCTTTGAGGGATTGGGGTGTTGGCCCAGACTTGTCCCACCTCTTAGGAGCAAATTCTTGCTTGATGACTGATGTGAAATGTCTTTAGAGAAACTGAGGTTATAGCCAGGTGTCAAGCAAACCTCTGGGTGCAGCTTCCAGTTTAAGTCTCCTGGGTTTAAGGACTTGATTTTGAGGCAGAGAAGGAGAAGTGGCAGTGTGCTGCTGTGGAGCTGCACTGGAGATGATGCTTCCAAAGCAGCAAATCTTAGGAGAGGAGGAGTGAGGAGCTTGGGCTGTCTCCCTTTTCCCTTGCATGAGCATGGGGGGATAGTCCAAGGGGGAAATGAAAGGTAACAGCACAGGTCTGGGAGGAGCAGTGCAGAGCATAATGCCTGGGCACAGCTGAGACTTTGCAGAACTGAGGAGTTTGAATTTGACCTGATGGGAACTGAGGGAATGATTTTGGGGTCAGTGTGAGCATTTTTAGGTTTCTCCTTTCTGTAATTTTCACAGCAATGCAGTCACCACCTGCCTTCTGCTTCTGGGGCTGCCAAAAAGAGCAGTAATTTTACAGCAAGCCCTGCACCCCCTGGTGTCTCTAAGGAAGCAGTGTTGTGTGTTGTGAAAGATTCCCTTGGGGTGCAGGATGCTCCTGTGCTGTGTTTTGTGCTCTGACAGACCCTGGGCTCTCCCTAAAGCTCTGCTGGTGTGTTCACAGGCATATGCAGACTACATGGGCTTCATCCTCACTCTGAATGAAGGCGTCAGGGGCAAGAAGCTGACCTGTGAATACAAAGTTTCAGAGGTAGGAGAAGAGTTTGGATCCCCTTGTTACTTCTTTCCTGCTTTTTTCACCTTTTTTTTTTTTTTTTCTGGCTCTACAGTGATTTATTTCCTGGGTGAGGAATGAATTAGTAGCTTATCTGGGAGCTGAGGGAGATTGAATGGGGTTGGGGATGCAAATGTCAGGGTGTCATCCTCCCCTCAGGATGCAGAGAGTCTGGATGTGCTTGGTGGATGGGAAATTGAGCAAGTGGGCAGAAGCTGGTGGGGAATCAGTGATGCTTTGAAGCCGTGATATTCCCTCCTGGTTGCAGGCAAAAGGCTGGGATGTCTGTACCATTTCTGTCCCCCAAGTGGTTTTTCTCTAGGAAAATCTGTGGGCGAACCACTTCTCTCCCTGTCCCTTGTCTTTGCTCAGATTGTGTTAATTGCACCAATCTCCTCAGCCCAGGCTAAGTTGTGCAAGCTCTGGTTGGACAGTTGTGACCTCAAGGTGTGTCACCAGCTGCACCTGCCTTGCCCAGGGTCCTGCTAAAAGTCCCGGGGCCTCCAGAACTCACAGAGATGGGACTGGGAGATTTCAGCTGGGCTGGGAGATTTCAGCTGGGCTGGGAGGTTTAACCTGTGGGGTAGGATCTCCCCTTCCAAGGTGTTAAGGAGAAAGCACCTGGTTTTCCCCTTGCATGACAGTGGCTGTCACTTGTCCCTGCCTATTGCCATAGCCAATTTTAATGGCTGTTCACCTTCTCAGGACATAGTGGAGCCAGAGAGAAAGGGCAGGCACCCACAGTGGTGTCACTGCTGCCCTGAGGGCTCTCTGGGTGCTGCCAATCCACAGAGCACACATTGGCCACCAGCTTTGCTTCCTTGTTACACACTGAATCCCCCTCCCTTGGTCTGTGCTGCAGTGAGGAGATTCTCGGCTGTGCTGGAGAGCTGAGTGATGTATGAAGATCTAGGCAAAATAGGCAGCAGACCGGGCCTTGTGTTTATAGCTGTTCATTCTGGTGGAAAAGGCAGCTGATGGTAGTGTTTAATCCAGTCCTCATGTTTGAAGTACTGTGTTGAGTCCAGCCTTCCCTTCTAGGAGCCAGTGTGTGAATGAGAAACTCCCCTGTAGTTCATGGAGGGGATCAGGGATAATGAGTCTCTCCCTAACAGGCTTTGTGCCCCTCTTTTGTTCCTTCAATTAAGTAGAAACTGCTGTCAAATACTGCTCTTGATTTCTGCTGTTTGAGTTTCACCTTTGAGTTTTGCCTTTGTCATGATCTCACTTGTTCCCAACCATTCACAGAGCACTTCTAGGGAAACAAAGCATTAAAAATGAACAAAACAAAGTGGGGGGGGGGGGGGGGGGCGACCCAACCTTCTCCAACAAGCCCTTTGAGCTGTCAGGAAAAGCTGTACCAGGGCTGTGTCTGCAGAAGAGCCCTCTTGGAGTGAATGTTTTCCATCCTTGGTCCCAGTCCGAGTAACAAACAAGAGACACGATCCCAGCTGCTTGGGAAGTGGCAGGGAGCAAATCTCATTCCTTGCACACTGAGGAGAGCAAAAGCTTGTGACTTGAGGCACAGGTGGAGCATCCCCAGGGTTGTCTTGTTGATGAGGCTGCTTGTTCACACAGGCTCCTTTGTAGATCAAACTGGTTATCTGTGCTTTTAAAGGCTCAGCCCCTCGTGGCCTCTTCTTGCATCTCTGCTCAGCTTTCTTCTCTTTAGCTGTACCTGCTACCAATGTGCTTTTGTGCCATCCCATCTTCCTTCCTGATCAAATGCCAGGGACACCTTCCTTTGGCAAATGACCTCCTGAAATCCTTTCTGCTGAATGCTTATCCACTCTGTGACTTACTGGTATTGCTTTGCCATGGAATAAAAAATGGAAGTATGGTCTGCTCTGCTTTGAAAGAGGCAGCTTAGTGGTTTCCAGAGAGTGTGTGTCGATACCAACCTTTCTGCTGGATCCTGTTGGGGCTGAGCCCCCTTGGAGACCTGCTGAGCTTGCTCTGCTCCTGCTGACACATTGTGTGGAGCTGTCCAGGGTTTGCTGCAGGCATCTGACAGGCACTGATAGCAGACTCTGGCACAGACACCGTGTCTGGCACAAGGCTGTGTGAGTGATAGGCTGTGACCTGCCTTCCCCTCCTGGAGGGAGTGCTTTCCACCTGGGGATCCATCAGCAACTTGCTGGGGCTGCAGCCTGGAGCAGTGACTTGGATCAGAGGTGCAGTGCAGTGAGGAGGACGAGGTTAATTTTTGCCATGCAAGCAGCAGACCTTCCTGTCAAACAGCCCAATGCACTGGGGGAAACTGGTTGGTCTTGTGGCTTGCTCTGCTTCCAGGAAGGAAGTGGGGGAAGCAGCAAATGCTCTGATTTTAGCAGCTCCCCGTTCTGACAGGGCCTGAGGAGCCCACAGGGGGAGAGTTGGTCGCTGTGGGCAGCTTTGGCTGCTGTGATGCCTCCTCAGCACCTCTGTCTGCCTGGGCCCTGCTCTTGAGAGCTGCTGACAGGTCTGTGCTCCGTAGGCAGCCCTGTGGTTTGCCTTTGGGACCGGTGGCAGACTCAGGGTCAAGGAGATGCAAAATCAGCACAACGAGGAGAGCAGGGGGGAGGCTGCCCTTGCTTTGATCACTGGAAAGGTAAAGCAAAAATAGAGCTTAAAAACCCAACCAGGCAAAACAGGCTGCAGTGGTGCTGATGGCTGTGTTCCCATAAGCTCCTTTCTCCCCCACAGGGGTCAGCCCTGGATGTACAGGCTTCCTCTGCTGGACAATGGGAAGCTGCTTCTTTTAGTTACCCCCTTTTCAAAGGGCCTTGAGCCCAAAATGAGACACAGCTCTTTAATTATTTATTGATGTGGCTGAGCCAGCAGCTGGGTCCTGCTCTCCCGTGTTCAGTGGGGCTGGGCTTTTAATCCCTTTAAAGCCAGCGAGTGGGGAAGGGGAGGTTGGACTCTCTGCTCCCCAGGGAAGGAGCTGGTCCGTGCCAGCCATTTATCCAGGCAGCACCGAGTGCTCGTGGAGAGGTTTGAAATACGGTGGCTGCTCATAATGAGCTGCTGGTGCCGGCGGATAAATCACCAGCACCATTTAATTATTTAATGCAGCCCAGTGCTGGGGATGCTGTTGCTTAATTGGAGGGGAATGCAATAGCCAGGAAGGAGTAGGGCTGAGTCCAAACGTGGCCCAGTGCAATGGGAATGTGTTTGATTCCTGCAGTGTTTTGGGAGCAGGGAGCTGAAACAGAGGGGGCTTCGGTCCACGTGTATCAGGGGCACTGGTCTGTTAGTGCCTCCAGGGTCACCCAGAGCTTTAGGCTGTCTTATCCCTTTTTTTGTGTTCAAGGTGTGCTCAGGTCTTGTCCCAGTCTCTGGTCTGGCTCAGTGGCTAAATGTCGAGGTCCTGGGGTGGGAGAATCGCTCTTCTGCTTGTTCCCACTGGCTGATCCCTCCATGTCCTTGGGGTGGCACCTCAGGAGTCACTGTCTGTGGGAGACTGTGTCTGCCATGAGACCCTTTCCCCCATGAGTGACCTGCAGCTGGTTCAGTGGCAGCACAGCTCTGCCATGCCTGGCTCTGCCCACCCCCTCCCAGTGGCACTTCAAGGGCTGGAAACTTGCTGGGCTCTGCTGTTTCCTTGTCCTCCCGACAGCAGCGTGAAGAATTGAACCACAACCCAGGAGACCAGCCAGCTTCACACGGTCGATGCCTCCAGCAAAGTCAAACCAGCCGCCGCTTCTGCTGTCCTCTTTGTCCCCTTGAAGGAGGAATCCCCTCTCGAGACAGAGGAGCCTACATTGCCCGGGGCCTGGACAGCTGCTGTGGCGGCTGGTGCCTCTCCAGCTGCTTGGAATCAGGCAGGGAGAATCCCAGAGCCTCTTTCAGGCTTGACCAGTTGTCAGCAGAGCCTCCTGAAACCGTCTGGAGCTGCTAAAAGTGCTGCCTGTGGTGTTGCCTCTTGTTATGGGGGGTGTAGCTGTTCTCCAGCCATTTGGGCCAGGCAGGGAGATGGTGTGCATTGGCCAGCCCTGGTCTGACAGCACAGCTGGAGATGTTGTGCTGTGTCAAGTGCTGCACCTCTTTTCCTTTCACATGGGTCCCTCGCTTCCAGCACTGGGTGTGAGAAACATGGCTGTGGTCTTGTTGTTGCTGTCTTCCCATCAGCTTGGAATTGAGACATTTCTCTGAGAGCTGAGAGTTTCTCATTCCTGCTCTGATGAGAGCACTGGTGGACTAACCAGGCTGCCTTTTCCCCTGGGTAGGTTGTATTTTGCCACATGCAGTGGGTGTCCCTGGGCTGGAGCTGCCTGGTGGTGTGGCTGGTAGGAGTTTGAAGCAACAGGAATCATGCTGAGAAGGTTGACTTACTGTACAAATGTGTCGTGGTTTAACAGCATCAACTGCTAATCCTGGCTCCTAAGAGACACTTCATGACAATTATTAGAGCCTTGAGAAGGGCCTTTAGATCACATCATCAGCCAATTGTGAGGATGCATAGCACTGTATATGTGCTGTTCTTTGTCCTATGGGGAATGCAGGACCCTTAAAAAGCCGAGCCTGAGTTATTGTGTTGAAGGTCCCTTCCCTGCCTGTCAGTCCTGTTAGGACTGTTCTGCAGCTCTTCTCCAAGAGATTTTGCAGCATGGTGCTGTTACAGCTCATGGAAGATTGTGTGGGTGACTGAGGAGCCAGCCTCAGGCTGGGCTTTGTACTGGACTGCTCTTCTGCAGGGAAGAATGTTTTTTCTGTCCCCTCTGCATTTTGAGGAGGATTGGCACAGCCCATTTCCACATGGCTCTCTTGGGAAGCATGGTGTGGGCTGTAATGACTCTCATTGAGGGGAGAGATGTCAGAGACTGAGGGACTGCTCTGTTTTATGTCACTGTGACCCCTCACCCTCTTGCTCTCTGTAGCCCATTGAAAAGCTGGTGGCTCTGCTGAACACTCTCGACAGATGGATCGATGAAACTCCGCCAGTAGATCAACCTTCTCGCTTTGGGAACAAAGCCTTCAGGACCTGGTACGCCAAACTAGACCAGGTGAGCATGTCTGTGCTGTGCAGTGTTACCTGCAGCTCCCACAGAAGGGCAGTGTGCCCAGCAGGGGTGGGGAATGGCTCTGTCACTGTGTGGCAGCCAAGCAGCTCGCAGAGGAATTGCTCAGATAAGCCTTGAAGGATCCACCCCTTGGTACGCATCACTTACCACAGACTTGGTGCTATCTTTTCCTCTTGTGAGAGCATATGAGCAATGTAAATACTCTTGGCTGAGTATCCAGGTTCTGGATGAGTCACAAGGGCTGTCCAAGCCCAAGGAATTCCTCTGCTTTGTAACTGCCCACTGTGTCACAAAATGAGAGAAAGATCGGGGAAAACTGCTTGAATTCCTTCAGCTCAGGACACTTGCTCTGCACCAAGCTCTGGAGGTGGTACAGCCCCAGTCCCAGCAGCAGTGACCTTGCAGCTGCTCTGCTGCTCTAGTGATGCTTTTGTCCTGGAGATGGCTTAGTGGGTAGCTGGTTCAATGTACTTGGGTGATGAGGCTTTTCTGTCCTACAGGATATGTATGGCATGAATAGGTCTGAGGACAAACTCTCCCTGACTTGTTCCATCTCTGGAGATGACTTCTCCAACAGGAGAATTTGCTCCTCTCTCTTGCTGCCTCCAGGCATTGCAGAGCACTGTTGCAGCCCTCACACTGTGACATCATCTGAGCGCAGGGTGCCTTGTCCCTGGGGACTGTGACAGATCTGTGCTCACCCAGGGGAGTCCTTTGTGTCTTTCAGGAGGCAGAAAAGTTGGTGTCAGCAGTGATTCCCAAGCATTTGGCTGATGCTGCCCCAGAAGTGGCTGTGTACTTGAAGGAATCCGTGGGGAACTCCACCCGCATTGACTATGGCACAGGTACCTGGGCTTGCACACTGGCCAAGGCTGGGTTTGTCAGGAAGGGACCTTTGGAGTTGGGTGCTGTATTTTTTAAAATATATCATTACCACTATTTTAGGGCCAGCTTGAAATGAACACCTTTTTAGGACCCCTTCAACCCTCTGCCCTGTGTGGGCTGTGACTGAGAGCTGGGGCTGGGAGCTGTATTAGAGCTCTGACACCCTTTCACATCTCATCCAAGGAGATGGGAACCAAGTTGTTCTGGGATGAGCTGTAGGACATGCTTCACTGCATGCAGCAGTCCTGCAGCAGGCAGTTTAAAGGATAAAATATGCTGGCTTGAATTGCAACTAGAGTGAGAGCCATGCTCATGTTCAGTGGGAGGTGTCCCTAGAGGGACATCATAATGGTCTGGTGGTCCCTAGAAGGGGATCACTGCTTACAGAGGGACTTTGAAATTTGAAGTTAGAAGCACCTGAGGAGATACTGAATTGCTGGTGAAATAACCACACAGGCTTCAGTGAGAACTAAGTACAGAATTGTCTGCATGCTGTGGTCCTCTCTGGGGGATAGCTGTATCCTCACCAAAAGGCAGGAGAGCAGGATGCTGTGAGAGCAAGGAAACATGACTTTGAGCTTGGGCAGGGAGAGGAAGAGGAAGCCATGGGTAAAAGCTGTGAAGTGCTGGCTGCAGCTCACTGGCACCAGGGGGAGATGTTGTCCTTGGAAAGGCTGGATGGGGTCTGGTCAGCTCAGAGAAGGAAATTCAACCTCTCCTCTCATCTAGTGTTCCCAAGCCAGGGGCCCATGTCCCAGCTCACAGTGTCCAGACCATGGGTGCATTTTGTTCCTACACTGGGAGCTGCCATCCACACCTGTCCATAGTGTGGAGCTGCTGATTTTGTACTTTCCGTTCTTCCGTGGTCCTTCCCACTGAAAGACATTTCTGGGTTTGCTGGTTATTTCTTTTCCTTGCTGTTAGCTGGAGGGCCAGGCTGCAGAGGCTTAGCCTGAGATCCCAGTACCTTCTGGGACAGACTGTTCCTGGCAGTGTTGTTGGATCTGCATCCTTCCAACACAGAGATATTTTTGTAGCAGGAGGAAATCTGTTTGCTTGCAGATGTGAGATTCTCTTGCATCCCCCAAGCAGATGACTCTGCAGTGCTCCACTTCCCTTGCTGTGCCAAGCTCCTGGGAAAGTCCCTGCCTTGCTCCTGGCATGCCCAGTCGGAGCTGTTTTCCCTTAAGAAGTTATTTTCTCTAAGTTAATGACCACCTTCTGAATGTCTAGAAGGTATAATTTGGGTGGGTGCTGCAGGGGGATGAAATATTGTCAACTCATGGCATTAACAGTGACAACAGGGTTGAGGTGGGGACTGTCATGCTGTGATTGCTGAAGAGCTGTTGTGGTGCCCACAGAAAGGTTGTCCTGGGGGCAAAGACACCTGTGTCATGTCTCTTCATGTCTTTTCACTCCAGGGCACGAAGCTGCATTTGCAGCCTTTCTCTGCTGCCTCTGCAAAATCGGTGTGCTCAGAGTGGATGACCAGATGGCCATTGTCTTCAAAGTGTTTAACAGGTGAGGTAATGGGAGGAGAAGGGCTGGAAGTATTGGGCTGTTTGGGGGGAAGGGTAGAATGGGAAAGCTGAAGACAATTTTAGACATAATTAGGCGCAGATGTACATTTTAATGGACTGTATGCTGACCCATTATAACTATCTCAAAAAGAGGAGATGGCCCCTTGTCTTCAGAGGCAGTGTCCTCCTGCAAAGTTACTTTAGTAGAGCACAAGTTCCTGAACTCTGTGGGTGAAGCTCTGTGCTTTGTGATAGACAGGAGTATCTGATCAGAGGATCTAACATCTCTTCAGGCATCAAAAATAAAAAATCTATGCAACTGGCAGGCCTCCACTACTTCTCTAGATGTGTTTCCAGCTCAGGAGGTAGAGTTGATAGTGATGAAACTGGTGGAATGGGTGCTTGGAGTCCAGAGATCTAATCCCAGCTGTATCACTGTCTGGTGGCATGGAAACAATTTCCTTCAATAGTATTTCCAGCTTTAATTTTCCACCTGAAAAGTGGAAGTAGTGATTGCTGTAAGGTAGAAAACTCTGTGCTCTTTTGGAAGTTGGTGAAGGGATGTGAAGTGTCAATGTTTACAAATAGCAGTGGGCATAAGGAAGGATCTGTACTATCATAAAACTTTGCAAATAAAAGAAACCCCTGCCACTGGGTTTCTCTGTGCATTTGGTGTTAGGTACCATAAGGCTGCTTTCTATGGCAAAAGAGCTGAATATATATTCAGTGAACTGTGCTGTACGTGGGGGTCCTGCTTACAAGTGGTAAATTGTGTCTTTTCCCCAACTGGTTTTTCTTGTCCTCACAAAAGTCAAAAAACAGGAGAAGGCCTTGCCTTAACCCTTCCTGTTCTCTTTGGTCTCAGGTACCTGGAAGTGATGCGAAAACTGCAGAAAACCTACAGGATGGAACCTGCTGGCAGCCAGGGTGTGTGGGGCTTGGATGACTTCCAATTCCTGCCTTTCATATGGGGCAGTTCCCAGCTGATAGGTACTAAGAAAAATCTTCTTGTGTCCTGAGTTGCCCTCTGCCCCATTTGTGTAGGATGTAAAGATGGTGGGACTTGGGGCTGACTTTTAAATTCAAATATGTCAGATTTGTGTATAATACAACAGGAGAGTTTGGGGCTTGGATTTTTTGCTTTACCTCAGCTTTCCAAATAAAGCTGGTTGGGAGTTGGAAAGCTTCCTTGTATAGTACTTCAGTCTTTATTGCAATGACTGCAATTAAGCTTTTTAAAAGGAGAGTCTTGGTTTTGGTGCTAAAAAATGCAATTTCTGCTCTGTGGAGTTTTGTTCCTGCAGAGGCACTGGAGTGGGAGATGAGATGGAAGGGAACAACTCTGTGTCGCCTTTTAAAGAGCTCTCATGGGAGGGTCGTGCTTCTGGGTGAGGGGCAGCACACCACCTGGTTGAGCTTGGTCTCAGGAGGGGATTGCCATACAGGTTACTTGCTGTTGTCTCTTACTCTTTTTAGACCATCCAAGTCTGGAGCCTCGGCACTTTGTTGATGAGAAGGTGGTAAATGAAAACCATAAGGACTTCATGTTCCTGGAGTGCATCCTCTTCATTACAGAGGTGAGGAATGGAAAGCTTGTCCCACAGGGACGTTCTCTTGACATTAGATACTTAGCTCTGGCAGTGGTTTTCTCTTCCTCCTTGCCTGTTTGTTTGCTCTCATGGAACTGTGCAGATGAACTATTGTTGCATGGCAGAGGTGTTCTCCTTGAATGAGCTGAGACAGGGATGTTGAGAAGAAAGTGTAATTAAAGTGGATGGGCTGTGGATTGTAGCTGAAGGGAGCTGTAACAAGTGCAAACAAATAACTCTGGATCATCACTTGGATCAGTCAGTGGGAGCTTGGATGGAGAAGAATGGTTCCTGTAGATACACCAGGAAGATGAAGTAGGAGCTGTGAAATGACTCGGCTTGCCAAGACAACCTCCCTTCCCTGCAGCCCTCGGGTGCTGCCTGGCAGCCCTGGGCCTCCCCTTGCTTAGGGCAGGCTCCCAGACTTCTGTGCTGCTCTGTCTCCTCCAGATTCTACCAAAAGAGCTGCCCATCAAATGCACCTGATTTGCAGCTGACCTAGAGCAGAGGTGGTGCTGAGATTCCCCCAGCTGGCAGCGCTCTCAGGACTGTTTCTGCTCAGGCACTGCAGGGCCCTTTGGAGAGGGGCGGGTGATCCTCAGCTTGCTGGCAGCCCTGGGCTGTTTCTCAATGAGGGAGCTCATGGCTTGCTGCCTGCAGCATCAGTGGAGGATTTGGCCGTGTTTCTCCCAGTTCCCTCACTGCACAGTCTGAACAGGGAGAGCAGTAACTACCCGCTCTGTTGTGGTGAGGGATTTCTTGTCTCTGGCGAGGGGAAGTTGATGGGATTAATTCTGAAGGACAGAGTGCAGTTCTTCCCTTTTGTTCTGTTCACTTTCCCCCTTCCTCGCCTCTCTAATTTAGTGATTAGATGGGAAGGGAGGTTACAGACTATGAACTTAGCCTTTCATGTAGGGAATCTTTATAGGAGCCTTTGGCCCAAACCCCAGGAGGTGCTGTGTCAAGTCCTGCTAAATCTGGTAGGGTTTGTTGGTACTCAGCACCTCACAGGGTTTAACCCTTAATGCCAAGATAAATCATACCATGGGTAATAAAGAGGTGCTGGTGGAAGAGATCAAGATGAGGACAGGAAATCAGGAGCCAAGGTGGTCAAAGATTTATTTTAGTTTGGGCCTCTGTGGTATCCAGACAGTGCACTGACCTCTTAAAAAACATACATCTCTTGAAATGTGTGTAGAAGATTCTGCAGCGCCCAGCTGACAGGTGATGTTTAAAATACCCAGCACAATCCTGCTGCTTCAGGTCACTCTGCTTCTGCCTGCAGAAAGTCAGCTTTTTAGTAGGCTTTTCAAATGAGTGATTTGAGTTCCTTTTCCACACATTTGTTGTGAATCATGGAATTCAGTGATCCCCAGTGCCACCTGGTGGCAAGGAACCCTCTTGGCCCTCCTGCCGTGAGCTGAAAGGGACGGCAGCAACCAAAGCCATGGTAGATTCAGTGCATCTCCGTGCGGGTTGCTGCTCCATTTTTATGAAGATTTTCCTTTTAAATCTTGAGTTTTTTCCCTCCCAAGCGCCCAGGAAGGCTGTGACTGCCACTAGGCGGGGCGAGGCAGCCTCAGTGCCCTCCAAATGTTTTCTCTCCAAAATCAACAACAAAACAAAATAGCAAGGAAAAAAGATAGAAGGGATTAAAGACTTCAGTTAATGAACTATATTATTTTCTTCTGAGCTTGTCATCTGGAAACAGCTATTCTTTAAGGGTGTTAAACATGTAACGAACACCACAGCAGTTCCCATAGTGGATCTGGTACATCTTGCCAACATGAGAGCAGGTTTTCTTTCAGACTACAACTGAGGAAGGTTGTTTTCTGTCAACTGAGAGAATATTCTCTTGAGCAGATACTGTTCTCAGCCCACAGGTGATGTTTCAGGAATATGAATATAAGCTGTTGTGGTGTTTGCCAGGCATGTATTTAAACCTCAGGCTTTTAAAGCAGCAGCAAGATGATGTCCAGGCTGAACCCACCACGGCATCCTCCTTAGAGGAGTGCCCAGGCACAGCACTGAATCTTGCATGAGCTGACGTGATGTTGGGAAATGTTCAGGGTGGGTTTGGACCCAAACACATGGTTCTGGAACAGGGTGAGGTGTGTAGAGCTGGCTGGAACTCGAGCTGTTCCCTTGCTGCTGCCCTTGCCTTGACAAAGGGGTGTGTGTGGTACCTGAAAGTGCGAGGATGAGGAAGGTTTGGGAGCATCCCTGTGGTGCCTGCCACACAGGGGCTGTAGAGGACAGTGATGCAGGGCTGCCTGGTGTGTGCAGAGGAGGGGAGCTGAGTACACCCAGCTGTTGTGGGAGATCAGTGCACTTGCCCAGATGCTCCTCTGAGAGCTCAGGGCAAGCAGCAGGAATTTCAGCTTCAATCTGGCTTCTAAATTTGGGAAGGGAGGGCTCGGGTTTCTGCTGGAAGGGAAGGAGCTGACAGGAAAGCACGGCCTCAGCCGTCCCCCTCCCCCCTGCACTGACAGAGGAACCATTTACAAAAGGCCGATTCTCTTGGGAACCCAGAGGCAGGAACGCCACGTCTGTGAGTAATTTCCTGCTCAATATGGCTGCTCTGACTCACTCTGTTCCCCTGGGGTCACTGCGGGACTGCAGCGCTCGCCGCCTCTCGCTCTCCCCTCGCTCTCCCCCACAGCTCTCCCTCTTCGCCCTTTGTGGCTAGAAGGAGATGATTTTTTTTTTGTTCCCCTTCTCATCCCTCTTATTTTTCCCGCCCCAGCTTGAAACCATAGCCAAGCCATCCCTTGCTGGGTGTCTGGGTGAGGAGGGCCACAGTGGCGGCCGTGCCAGGCGTGAGCGTGGGACTGTCCAGCTGCGCCCGCCTCCTGCGTGCTCTCTGGCTTGAGAAGGAGAGAAGAGCGTGGTGGTGGTGGCTGATGCCAGCTGTGCCCCTCTGAAGGGCGGTGACACCAGGGGAAGGAAGGTTTGGCCTCAAAACTCAGGCAGCCAAACCTCCTGTGCGGGGAGGGGAGGCTCTGATGGAGCCGCCTGGCGCAGAGCTCCCTGCCAGCCGCAGCTTTGGGTGCCCCCGGTGCCAAATCCTGGCGCTGGGTAATGTGCCAGCGGTGCCAGGGAGCCGTGCTTTGTGTGTGCACGTTTCATCTCATACCCACGAGGGAAGCGTGTGGCAGAGGGGACAGGGAGCGGCTCATCTGTCATCCCCCAGCTCTCAGGAACCTCCGAGGGGAAGTGGAGAGGCACCCGCGCTCTCCCGGCACCAAGCAGAGCTGCAGACTCGCTTCCCCTGCTGCTCTAGCCCCAAAGCCAGCGGGTTTGAAGCACATCACCCTCCAAACAGTGAGGTTTTTGGGTCCTCCCACCTTCTCCCTCTCTTTCTTTCCTTTTCTGCTGCAGGCTGGTGTCACATAGGTATTGCAGAAAGGCAGCAGTGTTTTTCCAAATCACATTGATTGGCCCTGCTTGCTTTTTTAGTGAGCAGAGAGGTTGTTTTGGAGGCGCTTTTCCCACCCTCTCTCCAGGCCTGTGCGTGCACAGAGGGAAGGGGTTAGTTGTTGGAGCCCCAGGTCGGGAATGAGAGTCCAAGAGATTCCTCTCTCCCCACGCTCCTCTTTAGCGTGAGCTTCGGCCTTGTGGTTTCTGATGTCATGGGAACTTCGCTCAGTCAGAGTGGCTGTGTTGTATTTCTTTTTCTCCCTGAGGGTCTGTTTTTGTTCATGGAGGAGAAGGAGAGACAACCACCCAGGGAATCTACACGCAACTGCCCCTGATTGCAGTTTCCCTCCTGCCCTCCCTCCTCCAAACCCCTTGCCCTGGGAGGAGAAACAGTGGAGTATAAAAAAAAAAAAAAAAGAAAAAAATGTAAAGCATCTGCTGCAAGCCAGCAGCTCGCAGCTCTGCAGCTAGTTTGGAGAGCATGTTCCCTCTGCTCCTGCCTCCCCTAGAGCCCTCCTCGGCTAGAGGCAGGTGTGGAGTGGGCTGTGGACACAGAGCTGCTGCCAGCCTGCACTGCCCTCTGTATTCAGGGAAGGCAGCGATGGCTGTCGCTGCTGCTTGTTGTTGATCTGAATGGGGAATGAGTCATTTTCTTGGAAGGCCCAGCAGTGCTGCACTGGGAGGTTTCTGGGTAGAATAGGAACAGCGTTGAGCTAAGCTCTACTGGGGGGAAAAACAGGACTTATGTGGGGTTTTTTAAAATACAGTCACTAAAAGGGAGGTGTGCAGAAGGAGGTCTGATTAGGACAGCATGGCAAGAAAAGGCTTAATTTTATCAGGGAAGGAGGGGAGCTGGATTGCCACGGCTTCATGTGATGTGGCCACAGCGGGAGGGAGCACGGAGGGAGGGAGGGAGGGAAGACGCAGTGAGGTGGCTGGTGCGTGGGTCACTGGGCTTGGTGGGAATGTTTGCTTGGAGAGAGTGTGAGCATGAGTCACTGCTGGTGCACGAGCTTCCTGGCTGGCCCCGCTCCCTCAGCCCTGTGCTTGGGTCTCTTGCAGATGAAGACAGGCCCCTTTGCTGAGCACTCCAACCAGCTCTGGAACATCAGCGCCGTGCCCTCCTGGTCCAAGGTCAACCAGGGCCTCATCCGCATGTACAAGGCAGAGGTGAGTGCTGTGGGCAGGGGGAGGCTGCTCGGCCGCACAGCTGCTCTCCCACAGCACCATGGGTCAGCTCCTGTGCTGCTCCAGCTGTGGGGACCCCATCACAGCCATTTGTTACTCCTTGGTGACTGTGGCTTGGGAGCACTTGGCCGTTGAGGTGCTGCTGGCTTAAAGGAAGCTCCTTCCTCGTGTTTGCCCCAAAACCAATCCCAAAGTGGCCATTCCTTGCAAACATGACTTTTGCCATGTCTTGTCTTGTCATAGTGCAAGTGCAGATCTCCAAATTAGGGCCAATTAGAACCTGCTTGTTCATCTGGTGCACCATTTTACCAGCTAGAGGTGACTTATTTTAAATTACCATCCCATGTTTGAAGAGCCCTAGAGCAGGCTGAATACTTTCTACTGATTTACTCTTTCTACAAGCCCCATCCATGCCATGTCCCAGCCCAGTGAGACCACAGCCACCTCTCTGGTTTGGCCATCCTCCGCCCACCAGCTCTGCTGGCATTGCCCCAGGCTTTCCTGGTGTACTCTGACCTGGAGAGCAGGGCAGTTTTGGCTCTCCCTTATCTTCCTTCCTGCTCAAGCTAACCCTGGGCTTGAGGAAGCAGGACAGGAACCTCCAGAGGGAACGGTGTTGGCTCTGCAGGACGCACTGGCTGCACTAAAGCGCTGGAGGAGCAGGGATGGTGCAACTGCTTGCTGGCACTGGGGGCGGGGACTGAAAGAATGAATCCCACACCCTGCAGTGCTGCTGGTGTAGCCATGCTCCTGTTGGGAGCTGGGACAAGCTGCTGTTGCTGGGACACACAGCTCTGCGGGCAGCTCTCTCAGGCCCAGCGCACAAAGGGGTTAACTGTGCTGAACGGCCGCTCCCTCCCCCAGCCCTTCCTCTGCTCTGCACATCCTGTGTTTAGGTTCCAGGCCACATACCTCTCTAATCTGTGAGGTGTCACTCCCAGGCCCGCTGGCTCCTTCCGCCCCCAGCTCAGCTTTCCTCCCAGCCTCCAAAGAGGAGAAGTGGGGCTGGGGGCCGACCCCCTCGCCTGGCTGCTCCTGGGAGGGGTGCCCCGGGCTGCTCCTTGGAGAGGGGACTGTCCCTGGGCTGCAGCTCTGTCACAGGAGCTGGAGACACTGCCTGCTGAAAAACCCTGAGCTGACAGTCTGAAGGGGAGACCACAGCACTGTGAGTGCCTTTAAAGTGAAACATGAGTGTCCTAAAACCTAGAGCCTCAGTGTGGTCTGCTGCTGCCTCAACAGCCTTGCCGTGGTCCTTCCTTTCCTTTGGATCAGTTCCTGCACAAGCTGGGTGCTCACCTGGCATCCCACATTCCCTGGGATGTTGATGTGCTCCTGCCTGATACCCCACGTGCCCTGTGCCCACCGTGGTTGCTCCCTCCTGTACATGGCAGTGATGAGCCCACAGTGCAGTGCACACGTTCACTGATGTCTTGGGGCCACCATGTGCTGGCAGATCTACCTGTGCCCTGCCTGGAGAGAGCACAGCTCGGGGATTCTCAAGAGACTGGGGCATTCTTTAGCTCTTCTATGTGCACCCAAGACAAGGTCTTTTCTGAAGGCCTTAGTGTGTTTTGAGTAGCAGGTGACTTTCTGTGTGAAGATGCTTAATCCAATACAGGTAGGTTTCTAGAAATATCTGAGATGTAGCTGTGTCAAGGGGAGAATGTAAAAATTGCTACGAAGGGTAATGGTACTAATTTAGGCTAAAGCATAAAAAACACTGAGTCAACCAAAGAGCTTTAAATTTAGGTTTTTTTCTCAGATAATGTTTGTAGGTCTTAAAGGACTAATCCTAAACACATGATTCTTGTGCAATGTTGTCCTCTCTTGCCATGGCATGGAAGTTGTGTTCACCTGGATAGGCAGAGGAGAGGGGGCACTCCAGCTCAGGGGTCCTCAGGGTTCTTTACAATAAAGATATCTTTAGATATAATCTGTTCTGGAGAGTTATCTACCCTGATGCTGGCTCAGCCAGTTCCTGTCTGGCTTGGGAGATGACAGGGGTGTGGATGTGGCCATAGTAGCATGGCTGGGCAGAGCTTTCAGTTATGGTGTGCCTGGCCCTGCAGGTTACACCAACATTTGCAACTGGAGGGTCTCTTAGACTGACTTTCTGGGAGTGACACAAGGTTAGGAGTCACTTAACCTTCATCCTTGCAAACGGAATCCATCTGGGTGTCTCAGGCCAGGCACAGAGTCAGTGCTGGAGACCTTGTCTCTTTTCTGCTGGCTCCCAGCGTATTTCTGCTCTCTGTGTAGCCTTCACCAATGCAGTCTTTCTGCAATTGGCTACTGCTGGCATTAGCAGAGGAGAAGTCAGCAGCACCCATCAAGTACTGACATGGATCTTTTTCCATCTCAAGGCAGGCAGCTTCTGTGGCAGAGCCTGAGGCTGTGATGGCAAAGAGAGGGAAGGTTTGGGGTTGTGGTGTCACTTTGTCTAACTGGCAAAGTGAGAGCAAGATTTCAGGTTTTATTTGTTTTCCCCTCCCTTCTCCCTGCCCCTCTGATCACCCATTGCAATTAGATCAGGTGAAATCAGACACTCAGCTGGAGGCTCCTGCTCTGTAACACTCCTGGGGTGGCTGGGGAGCGCTGGGTGTCTGTCGGATGGCGCTGACCAGGACCGGGACTGAGTGGAGGCAGCAGCAGAGGATGAGGTCACTTGCTGGAAACAGACCAGGAGAAATCCCACTTGGTGGGAGTGGGGCAGCCCCCAGACCTAGTTCATCTAAAAAGCACTCCAAAGGATTTATCTCTTCTCTGTCTCCTCTATGGGATGGCTTTAAACAGGCAACAGAAAGCTCAGGTGTGTCTGTGTGTCCAGGAGCTGTGGTCTGGATCCAGGCACTCCAGGGCAGATGAGCAGTAGACTGAGGACAGTGTGTCTTCAACTCTGTGTGTTTATGAAATCCCAAATGTGTCTATTTATAATATAATGGGTGAAGATGTGTTTGCTTGAAAGTCCACGGGCTTTTCTTATTCTCTCCATCAAAGTCAAGGGAAGAAGTTGACAGAATAGAGTGTGGTTAAAGCAGCAGCCTTGATGTTTTTCCCCTGAGCCTGCTTTGAGTCTCCTGACCTTTCCTTCTCTGCAGTCAGTCAGGAAATACTTCCCAATGTAACTAATCTAGTCCCAGTTCCATCTTTAAAGGTTGGACTTGGTGCATGAATCTACTCCCCAGTTGGGTCCCAAGCAGACCTTCAGTGCGATCAAGATGGTGGCAAGAAGAAATAAACCTGAGATTGAGCTAGTCTTGGGTACAGTTTCATCCACAGCTGATGCAAGGAAGGCCTTGTTGCTCTGTACAGCTGATAATTCAGTAAACTTGTGCTAGTCCTTCTGAATACAGGAGGAGAAATTTCTCTGCTTGTCTCCTCTTGAGCTGATGATGTGTTACATGAAATGGATACCCCTTCTTCCCACTGGTGGTAAAGTCTCTTAATCTGGAGCCCAAACCAGTCTGGTCTTCCATGTGACTCCTTGGAGCTAATTGGGCTGACATTTCAAGCTGTCATCATCTCCAATGTTCACTTCTCTCTGCTCTCCCCTCATGCCTGTGTTACCCAGCCCTGTTTCCTCTGAGAGTTTGTCTAAGTGGTTGTGTGGAGAGACAGCAGCAGCTCTAAGCATTAGGGAGCTTTGAAGGTGACGTGCCCTGATGCTCGCAGGACTCACTTCTCCTTGGTGCCTTGCCATGGAGATTTGTGGTTTTCTGCCTGGCTCTTATTCCCCAGGAGTGGATACAGCCATGCTGTACTTTCACCACCTCCAAACTTGTTTGGCTCCAGTGTGCTGGTGCTTGAAACCAGTTGCCTGACCTCTGGCTCCAAAGGGATTACTGTAGGCCTGGGCTCCTGAGCACTAATCTCCCTGCTTGCCCATGATGACAGCATGAGGGCAGGGTGCCTGTGCTCAACTCCTGCCTTGGGGTGAGAGCTGTCTGCCATACACAGCTTTCTCCCCAGCCCCAGAGTCTCCCCTGCTTCAGTAAGTCCAGTTTGGCCCCATGGAGAGCACAAGACTCCTTCCCATGGAGAGCTGTAACCACGTCATGGCTGGTGAACACTCACTGCTGAGCTCTGTGTGATGGAGTGGAGCCTGCTCAGTGCCCTCCATGAGGTTTGGGCAGTCTGAGTCTGCTGTGACTCAAAAACCAGAGCTCTGAGTGGCTCTGCCAGGCAAGTGCTGGCAAACTCTGACGTTATTGACCACAGTCCATGGCCTTCCTGCTGTTGGCTGGTGAGTGGAAGGGGCTGTGCCCTTGCAGCCCCGCTCACCTTATGCAGAGCCTGGGTGTAGCTGCAGGAAGCAACTCTGAGCTAATCTGCTTTGTAGTGGATCTGTGTGACTGACCTGTGATCCATTACTCTTCAATGGGAGGTGGGAATTTCAGGGGTGAGGGGTTGTTAGAAATAGGATCATATTTTAAACTATAGCTGCAAAATCACTGGTACTTGTCCATCAAAGACTTGAGTCTTTGAGTCTGGAATGCAGTTTGGGCAGTGCCTTGCAGCTGCAGAATGGTGCCTCAAACCCAGAGTGTGGGCACTGGCCTGGGGGGGAGAGTCTCTCTCTGCTATGTTGTCCTCTGCAGGGGGGATTCTGCAGTTCTCAGTGTTTGTGGAGTGAAAGACATCAGCTTGAGCAAGGAGAGTGGTGAGGGAGAAAGCTGCTGACAGACATGCTGCTTCTGCTCATGCTCCAGGCCTCCCCATACTGAGTTTCAGTAAGAAAAAGACTCTGGCTGAAGGGAAGGGGTTGGGGTTATGAAGTGCTACTGGCCTGAGAAGCCTGATTGGAATGTGACATGGGGCTGATCCTCTGCTTTTGTCTGAGCTGAGTGGTCCCAAACCCTGACCCTGCAGGCAGGATGTGGCTCAGGCTGTGTGTGTAAGGTGGAAATGTCTCCTGAATTCACCTCTCTTTATCTCCCCTCCTGTAGTGCCTGGAGAAGTTTCCTGTGATCCAGCACTTTAAGTTTGGCAGCCTGCTCCCCATCCAGCCTGTGACATCTTAAGGAGCCCGCAGGAGGAGCCGAGGCAGCGGAGGCACAGCACGGCGCTCTTCCTCCTCCCCTCACCCCTCCTCACCACCCAGCCCATCCTTTCCTGCACATCCTCATCGGCAACCACAGATCCAAAGCACTCGCCGGCCTGGCACGGGAGATGGGACCTGGAGCAGCTCCTCCTGCACGTCCTCGCCCTGGGGACGTCTCGCCAGCGGCCGAGCCGGGGCCGTGCTGCTCCGCTGTGCCGCATCCCTGCTGGAATGGGGACGGGTCTGAGCAGGGGCTGCCCTGCAGAAAAGGCCCTCTGCTGTGCTTCCCAAGAGAAAGGGGTGTGGAGGGGAGGAAGGCACGTGTGTATGTGTTGGGTGGTGGTAACTGCAATTTCCCTTTTGAATTTCATTGGCGTTTCCTGTTGCTGTTTGCTTTGGGAAATGACTGAGACTGCGCGGGGCGAGATGTGAGCCTGTGTGTGTCTGTATCAGCCAGCTCTGCCTGCACTGGAGATCTGAACTGGGAAAAGGGAGTTCTAGGGAGTGTCTGTGGGTTGTGGAAGCCCAGGGTACTGTCTCTCCCTTTTTCTGGGTAAGGAAAGCGCCCTCTCTCCACCTCTTCTGCAAGGTTTCCTGGGTCTTCCTTTCCCACTAGCACCTCTTCTCTTGGGTGAATCTGGGAACCTTCTGGGCTGTGGGCTTCTGAGCTGGCTCTGGAGCTGGAGCTGGGTCTGTGGAGGCACACAGCCCTGTGGGAACAGCTATGCAAAGACACTGCTCAGGCCCCCTCTTAGCTGGCACAAGCCCTGACACATTCACACACATCCATAACTGGGTCCAACCTGCCCTCTGCAATCCCCGTGCTTTGCTGCTCTGGGGCTGGGCTGGCCTCAGGGGCACAAGGTGACCGTGGTTGCTCCTGCTTGGTCATAAATTGTAGTGACACCCCCATAGCAAAGGGATTTCCCCACAAAGCAGCACAATCCCCAGCTCTTCGAGGGGGCCATCCCTGGAGCACAGGCAGCATGAGGGGGCCGCATGTGGTTTCTCATTAATTTATATACTCGCACTGGAAACAAAAAGCATAAGTAGCCCAGGACAGCAGGTTATACCCAGAGAAAGCTCCTTCCCTTTGTTCTTCCCTGCTGGTGTTGCTGTGCTGGACCTCAGGCAGGGGAACCACACTTGCAGTGCCACCAGCAGCACTGTGTTGAAGACAGGTGGTCTGGATCACACCAGCCGTTTCACTGGAGGACAGAAAGGGCTGGTGCTGTTTTTGAGATGAGCTGTCTGTCCACAGGTCATGACCAAGCTGGTGCACAGCTTTGCTGCTGCACTGGGGGTGTTTCTTCTTGAGGTTCTGGGCTGGGTGTGGCAGGGACAGACTGGACTGGTGTTTGCTGGGATCAGGAGCAGCAGGACTCCTTCCTCTTGGCATTCCTGCAGACCATGAAGGGGCTGCCCCCAGCCAGGCTGCTCAGCTTTTGCTGCTGCACTGCTTTACTGCTGGGGTGGGAGAAGGAAACATTGTTGTGATTTTTTTTTTTCTTTTTTTTAAAATTATTTTTTCATTATTTTTAACAGACCTACTCACTCCCTCTTGTAAAGGTTCTTGCAGGCACTCAGGGGAAGGAGAGTAAGAAAAGAGTCTAAGTTATGAGGTGGTGAAATGTCCACAGAGCAGAAGCAGAGCTTTCTGGCACTGTTGCTGTCCTGTCTGCTCCTGGCTTGGCCCTGGGCAGGGGGTGGGGGACAAGGAGCTTTTGACCTGCCTGAAACAACTCTATAAACTTGTATTTTAAATGAAAATGGAAGACTGGGGTTAAGTCTTGTTTTACTCCTAAATGGAATGTGTTTTGTCTTTGCTTCCCAAATGGATCCACTCCTGGAATGTTGCTGGAGATCTGTGTCCTTGCTGGGACTCATGAGTCCATCTTCAGTGGAGCAGCCTGTGCCTGGAGCAGAGACTCACGGTGTCTCCACCTGTGTCCCCTCACGTTGCTGTGTCTTTTGGCAGGTGTCCCCATACTTCAAATGATTGTGCAGCATCTGGCCAGCAGTGGCTGAGCAAAAGCCCCTGGTTTTCTTTATCTGCCTGAGAGTCAGGAAAACATCCCTCCAGGTTGTCTCGTGGAAATGAGGCTTCCGTGCAAAAGGATGGGTGGAAATTATGACATTGATACATGGGAGGGACTCCAGGAAAGTGGAATACAGCACCAAAAAAGGGTGGAGAGGCGCTTCCTTCCCCTGCAGCTGCAGCATTGCTCCCTGGGACAGTGTCCCTGGGCTTGGGACCTGTGGAGGCGGTGGGAGGAGGCTCACGCACAGCTTTGTGTTTGTTGTTTGCCAGAGCCTGCACATCTGTCCTGCTGGGAATTTTGGGATGTCAAGCAGCTAATTTTCGTTTGAGTCTTATCAGCCTGCTTGGGACGTGCCCCTGTCACGTGGCAGCCACTTGCTTTGCCTCCCTCCTGCTCCCAGTGACATTCCCCAGGGCTCGTGGCAGCACCCAGGGCTGCTCTGTGCCCGAAGCAGCACTTCCCACCTCCCCCCATGTTGTAGGTTTAATTAAAGATTCTGTGTTTTGCACTGGTGACTGTGTTGGTCTCTAGACTGGGTTTGCTCCTGCTTTGGGAGCAGAGCCAGCAAAGCCAGTGGCCGGAGCCTTCGGCACAGGGAAGAGGCCTGGTGGACGCACTTGCCGTGTCGGTGGTTGACCTCGTGCTTGCACTAAAATTGATTCTTTATTTAACTGCATGATCAAGTACATCTGGTCTGTCTTTGTGTCCTTCCAAGGTGTCTTTCTGTTGTATTATGTGGTTTATTTATTAACTTTTTTGCTGTGTCCGCCACCCAACCCATCTGACGTTCGGCAGGTAGGTGATGTGCAAAGCCTGATCCCAGGCCAGCAAACCTCTTGAAGATCAGAGACTCTTAAAACCAAAGGATGTTTGAGCCTTGTTTCTAAGGCACGTCGAGAACTGGAACCTTTTCCTTCAGATGTTTTTCTTGTCCTGCTGTAGGAGCTGACTCAGGACTTCCAGCATCAGTGTAGTTCAGCAGCTTTGTTGGACTTATAATAGACCTGGATTAAATTAAACCTAGACCTTCTCACAAATGGTTGGAGGTAGTGTAGCTGTGCTTTGCAAATGCTCCTTTTCTTGTCTCTGGGTTACATCTCCTCCATCAACAGAGGCCAACTGTGTGAGCGTGTGTTGCTAAAAGCAGCAGCAGTGTGGAGGGGTGGATGGTGAGCAGAAATGTCATCTTGGATCACAGATGTTTTCTTTGAAGGCACTTGGATTTGTCTTGAGCCTGTCCCTTGGTGAACATGACGTGCAATGAAGGGGAAGCAGACGTAGCTTGGGTTTCTGGCCATCTTCCCCCTCAGCCCACTGACCAAGCCATTTTTTTTTAAAATTTAGTTTTCAGAGCTGGATCTTTGGGGTTGCCATATGTAGGCCAGTTCATGTTGCTATTTAACAGCTGTTGCCTTTGCATGGGGTGCGTTTTGTGAGTCGCTGTCAGCCTTGCCCTGTCTCTTCCTTCACAGCCCTCCTTTATAAATAATGGCTTATGGCAGCCAGTGATGAAGTAAGAGTTGAGAGAAGCAGCCTCGTGGAGATAGAAGTAACAGAATAAAAAATAGAAGTACTTCATGTCATTGTTGCTGTATTAACTTGTCCCTGGTGTGTGGCTCAGTTCCACTGTGCAGTGCTGGGATTCTGTGAGTGGATGAACAAAGCTGCCCCCACAGCAGGACCCACAAAATCTGAGCGGGCACTTGCCAAGATGAAGGTGCACTTTGTGCCCCAAGGACCTGGTGCTGAACCACACAAGAGCCCTGGACTCTGCACTGTGTCCCTGCAGCTGCCCTGAGAGAGGGAAGGAGGCAGAAATGGGTTGGAGGAGGTGAAACTGGTTGTTAATGATAACTGCTAAAGTAACCTGAACTCTCCCGCTGCCAGCGTGCTGGTGGAAACCTTGTACAGTTGAGAAGCTCACAAGAATCTTCTTGCTACTTGAACAAGGACTCCCCTGGCTCAGAGGTAGAATTTAACAGGGCTTTTGGAGGTCATTTCATGCTCTAATATCCAAGAGGAGATACCTTCATCATTTAACTTTGCTTCCCCTTCAGTGGATGAGCACTCTTGCCATTGGCGTTGGAGAAAACTCCTTGAACATCCTGGGGGCACACAGGGTCTTGTAAAATTGTGCCAAACTTCAAACTAGGGCGAGCCAAATTGAAAAAGGGCTGTCTGCACATCAGATTCAGTGAGGGCTGAACCGTGACGGGCATCATCAGCTTGGAGACAGGCTTGTTCTGAGGAGCACAGGGCTGTAAGCAGGTTTTGGAGGTTAGAAAAGGCCTTTCAGGGGGTGGAGTGGTTGCTTCTGCTTGCTATAAAAAGCCTGGGCTTGGGAATGTCTACATGGGCCAGCTCTATGCAGGGCATTAATGCAGTTGTCGCTAAAATTGGAACGAGTCCCTCCCCATGTTCCCAGTTGCAACTGTAACACGGATAATAAATAACATCAAAATCCTGCATTAGAATTTGGGCCTCTTAATGCTGGGTACAGTCACACCCATGGAAACAAAAAATCCTCAGGAGGAGGGTCCTGTAGGAGTGGTGCTGCGGGGCCCTGACCCAACGGGCACCAAGATGTGGGGTTGAGTCCTCCTGAGCACATTTTCCTTCCTTTTAGAAAGCAGATTAAGGTTTTCCTGACCCTATAAATGGAGGAAGGAGAGAAGGCAGAGGATCAGTTCTTTATTGCTTCTCCTGTGTTTTAAGGCACCTGGGAGAGATAAACCCAAGCAGACTGCACTGCACAAGTCAACTACCCGGATTTTCCATTTGGATGTGAATTCCTCCCAGTTTTATGTGTGAAAATTTGGGTTTTCTTTGGGATGGTGAAGTATGTGGTGCTGGACACCAGCACCATGCTCCAGCAGCTCTTGGGTAGACACAGCACTTCAGGCTTCAAGTGCTGATGCTGTTAAAGGATCTCTGTATTGTCCTATGGCTAAAAGAGCAAAACATGACAATATTCCTAAGAGTTTATGTGTCCTAGGATGATACAAACTATAGAGAAATGACTGGTGTGGTTAGAAATTCCAGCTAGATTGTAAGATATGAGGGTAAATTCTTTTATCAAATACTTGCCGATCACTGGAAGTGGCTGCTCTGCAAAGGGCCTTACTTTTCCATGTTTAGAGCATATACCTTTAAAAATATTAGTTTAGGTATTACATACCCCCTTAGAAAAAATTCCCTTGTAGGCAAGAATAAAACTTACAAAAAGGCTGTTACAGAGATCATCAACTCTCTATTAGATAGCTTGGAATATGCTCCACTAGCACCAGAGTTTAGTCTTCTCTAAATTACTGTAGAGGATTTGACTGTATCTTGCTGATCCATCCACATTTTAATTTCCTCTGCACGGATACATATTGCAGGATGCTGGAAATCCCCAAGCCCACTGGAGCTGCAAGACTGGATGTTTCATCCTGTAACACCAATAAAATGTTAATGCATACTAATAGCAACAGCAAAGGGGTTTATGGAGCGAGCTTGGAAGTATTTTATAATTGGTAGGGTATCTGTGTCACAGAGAATTTGGGGTTAGAGTCATCAAGTATTGCACTTTGTCAACACAGGAAAAAAAACCCCTCAAAAAGTACCTCAAACCTACTAATTTTTATAATTAAAGGGGAAAGATGTGAGATGAATCCTTGGGGAGAGCGTAAAACATAAATGTCACATACATGAGAGAGCTGCCCCTGGTTGGGATGGATGGGGGTCTGTGTGTTCAGTTACCTGCTCTGCCTGGAGCCCTGCTGCAGCCCTTCCTGAGGACACTGCCTTCCTTTCCCACCTGCAGACCAAGGATAAAGACATCCTGCCGTACCAACCCAGTGAATCTGGGCATGGGGTGACATAAATCCATCAGTGAGATGAAATGCAGGGAGCTGACCATGACTTGCCTTCCAGCAGCTCATTGTGTGTCCTCTCCACCCAGCCTGGTGGTGTGGTCCTATTTACTGCAACCTGAGCTACCAAAAACAAGGAAATTTTGAAACTGGGGTCAGAAGGACCAGATTTCCTCCCTCTTGCAGGGCTTCCATCTGTCAGACTTTGGTTGCACCCCTTATCCTGCCTATTCCAAACTCGTGTCTGGGTGCTCTGGTCGCTGCCTGTTGTGGTGAGGATGTGGGGCACAGAAAGGAGATCCCACCCTGTCTGGAGCACCGTGTGGGAACTGCTGATCCGCCCTGGCGGGCACTTGGCTCCCCTTCTCCTCCCACTGGATTGAAGCACGAGGTCTCCATGGTCCGAGGACAGAAGGGGAAGAGCCTGGATGGCCCCAGCGCTGCTGGTTTTAATAGATGTGCTCCAAAACCTGAGGATTTTCCCAACTCAACAGATCCCCAGCCCGGGAATAAGCCAGAGGCGCTGCCTGACCCCTCAGTGGGCTGAGCTGAAGGAGCTCTGGATGGAAGTGCTCCTGAAACAACCTAAGGCTGAGTTAATGCACTGGTGACTCCAGGGGGAGAAACTGGAGGCTCAGTGCTCCCCCTCATGTGTTGTGTGCCCGAGCTGAGGGCACAGCACCACGGAGCCTGGGGTTTCCATGGCTCCTGGGGCTCCTCAGCCCTGTCCTGTCCTTCTGCTGCATGGGGAGAGCCGGGATGCTCGTGGTGCTGTGGGGCCAAGAATCTGGGGGGAAATGGGTGATGGGAGAGAGCAGACACAGAGCCTGGACATGGGGGTTCTCCCCTGGCTCTGAGTGTTCCCCAAACACCCTGGGTGTGCTCTACCCCTGTGCAGGGTCATCCCCCATCCCATCCCAGCCCTGCTGGGAGCTGGCTGCAGAGCTTTCCCTTGCCTGACAGCAGCACGGGGCTGGAGAGGGTGAAGCCTGTCCTTTCACACGTATTTTGGGCTGGTGTTTGCTCTCCAAAGCAAACAGAAGGGTGAGTTGCTGGAATGCCCTTGCCGGAGCTGTGCAGCCGAGCAGCCCCGGCTCTCTCTGTTCACAGGAATATCTCCGAATCCTCAGCACTCCCTGCCAGGCGGGCAGCACCGGGCTGCGCTGGCAGCCGTGAGAGGAGGAGAAGGAGGAGTGGGCATGGGCAATGGTTGGTGTTTTGTTCATCCTCACCAGGGAGAAGAGGAGAAACAAAAGCAGGAGCAGCGCGGGGCACCGGGCTGGCTGGGCGAGGAGGAGACAAAAATAATTGTGCAGAATTTCATCGGGGAGCTTGAAAAAGGGTGATTTTGTGAGCAAACAGTCACCTCCTAGCACAGAACTTCCCAGTCTCCAATTTCAAAATTCCATTCACATCAACATCCACTTTCATGTTGCAAAACCTGGGGAAAAAGGGAAGGAAAAAAAAATGCAGCTTCACACATTTCAATGCAAAAGTCTCATTTTGGTGAGGAAAAGAGGGAGAAAACACTGCTTTGGGGGTTCTTTATTAGAAATCAAGCCCCCAGAATGGAAGTGTGGAAATAATCAGGGACCTGAGGCAAGGGGGGTTGCCCCAAAGCTGCTCCTGTTGGGGCTGAGCCCAGTGGGGCCATGAAGTGGCTGCTGGAGCTTCCCACGTGGAAAAGGTGGGAGCAGGGGCACAGTGCAGGGGCTGTGCTCTGGACACAGGAGTCCTCATGAGTTTGGGACAACAGTTATGGGGGGGAAAACACATGGATCCAGCCCGATGGGGGACCTGCCAGCCAGGCAAAAAGGGGCAGCTTCAGTCCTAGGAAAAGGGGGAGGATTGCAGGGAGCAGGAATGGTCCACAGCAGCACCATGGATGTGGGGGTTTCCCTGGGAAAACCCTTTCCCCTCCTCTGGGCAGAAGCACAGATGGGGTTAATGCTCTGTCTCATTCCCCACAGGTGTGGGACAGGTGATTTTGCTCAGCTGGACCAGTCATGGGGTGAGGAGTGAGGATAAGAGCAGGCTTTGGTGAGGGCTTCTCCTTTCTCTGCTCCTTTATCTCTGAGACATGGAGTTGGTCAGTGCTTCCCTGAGGAAAAGGAGCCAGAACATCTCTGCCTGGGTTCTGCTCTGGGCTTGGCCCTCTCCTTTTCTCCATGCTGACCTCTGTGTGCTGTTTGGCTTGGAATGAAGCTCCTGCCTGCCTGGCATAGAAATCCCAGAGAGCAGCTCTGCTGGAAATGTCTTTTGCCTGAGGAGCAGCTGGAGAAGCCTTCAGCCTCCAAGAGTCTGGGTCAGCAAAGCAGCCCCAGGTCCCTCTGCAGGTGACCAGGACCGTCACTGGCAGCACAGCAGTGCCACCAGAGGAGCCAGTGCTTAGGAGAGCAGGTGAGCCCACCACTGGCTTATGGATTTTGCTTGGCTGAGCTGTGTAAGTCCCAATGTGGAGAAGTTAGCAGCCACTTTTCCCCATTTCCCAGCCTGTGGGGGCAGCAGGTCCTTCTCTGCAGAGCCCTCATTGTGTTTCTCTGATGGAAAGGTGGCTGAGGGGGTCTGTGCACCCCAGCTTTGCTGCAGAGCTCTGCCCAGCTTGTGTCTCTGAGGTGCCAGGAAACCCCTAAATCATTTGGCATCTGTGTCTTTTGAATGCTGAGGGAGTTTTTTGCTTCTCCTGCTGTACAGCCAAGCTCCTCGTGCATTGATGGTGGTGGCAGAGTGTTACTGAGATGGCTGCTCTGTGCTTAGTGGCTGCTGCTTCTGTGAAAAGTGCTTTTTACTCTAATTTTTCTATTGTGCTGTTTGTGCTGTTCTGTGTGAGGGACAGCAGCCTCTGCCACACAACAGCCTCCTCCTAACTTTCCCACCATGTGCTGGTAAATCCAGGACAGGCTTCACTCAAGGAGCAACATTAATCATCAAATCTATAAGCAGGATATAGAATGGCCAAGTGTGAATAATTACTGCTCAGGTGCTAATTACCCAGGCCCAGACCAAGCCCAACATATTAAACAGACTGCTAACGGCAGCGGCCTCTCCACCACGTTCCTGGGTCCCCCATTGCTCTCCCACTGCTCTCTCTGCAGGGGACTCCTGCAAACATCTGCCAACATGTGCAGATCCCAAAATATTCTTCTGCTCATTCGTGTTTAAGCTGGGGAGATGAGATGGGAGGGATCTGACTGAAAATCAACAGATGGAAGGAAGGACAGCTAGATCCTGCCTGGGTTCTGCAGAGCACAAGGTTTCTCTCCTGAGGATGGGCTGCTGGGACTGGATATGGGCTTGTTCTTGGCACTTGTGGTTTAGGAGGACATGGAGCTGCTCCAGTTGTGGATCAGCATCTGGGAATTGGTGCTTGGCTCATGGTGTGAGGGCGGGTTTCCCTTGGGTGGTGCCCAGCCTTGAGCTGGGGGTGAGCTGGGCAGGCAGCCTGGGGGATGGGAGGGTCAGTTCTCCATCACTGTGTCCATCCTTGTCCCTCCTGGTGGGGACAGGCCTGCTGGATGTGCGGTGACATCCAGGCTGAGCTGCTTCAGTGGCACGAGGACTTGGCTGAACTGCTGGCTTTGACCTTGGCTTGATCTGTGGCTCCCCAATGCC